AATAAATAAATAAATATAAATAAATATAAATAAATATAAATAAATATAAATAAATAAATAAATATAAATATAAATATAAGTATAAATAAATATATAATAAATAAATATTTAGATAAATATGAATAAATAAAAGAATAAATATAAATAAATTAAATAAATAAATATAAATATAAATATAAATAAATATAAATATAAACAATAAACAACAATAACAAATGCTAAATACAAAACAAACACAAATAAATTAAAACCCTAAACCCTAAACCCTAAACCCTAAACCCTAAAAATAAATAACAACAAATAACCTTAAACCCTAAACCCTAAACCCTAAACCCTAAACCCTAAACCCTAGTTTTTGCTTACTACCGATGCTAAGAAGCCATGCCTCCGCCTCGCTTTGTGATTGTGCCTGAAGATAACACCCACCATAAACCCTAAACCCTAAACCCTAAACCCTAAACCCTGATATGTATATAAGGAATATTTTCAAGTGTATGTAGATTGAATTTATATTTTAAATTAATGTTTGTATATATATCAAAGAGCTAGGGTTTAGGGTTTTGGGTTTATGGGTTTAGGGTTTAGGGTTTTCTAGGGTTTACGAGGGTTTAGGGTTTACTAGGGTTTAGGGTTTATTACGATCTAAGATTAACTAGGGCTCAGGGTTCAGCGTGTATTAGGGTTTAAGCTTTATTAGGGTTTAGGGTTTTCTAGGGTTTAGGGTTTAGGGTTTAGGGTTTAGGGTTTTCTAGGGTTTAGGGTTTTCTAGGGTTTAGGGTTTAGGGTTTAGGGTTTAGGTACCCTCCAGTAGTATGAGCGGCTGCGGGTTTGCATCAAAATTATTCGGCTGTCTTCAGGCCCCAGAGAAACCTAATTATAAATAAAAAAAATAAATAAAAAATAAATAAATAAATATATAAATAAAAATAAATAAATAATCATAAATATATAAATATATAAACATATAAACAAATGAATAAATAAATATAAATAAATAAATAAATAAACAAATCGATATATAAACATATACAAATAAACAAACAAATATA